TCGAACGGCTCGACGAGAAGAATCCAACGAGCCCAAGATCGCCGAATTCCAACATCATTAAGGCCTTCAAATACCCAACGAACGGTGCATGATCAAAGGATTCGATATCATCTGTCCATTCAAAACACTCCCAATTCGCCCCTGATCTCACGCCCATTTACGGGCTATGCCACTCAAGAAAAACTATAAATAGAGCCCTCATTCTACACCAAGGGGACTCAAGTGAAGAGAGAGAAGAAGTATAGGAGAAAGGGGAAAAGGAGATTCCTCACCTCCTCGACCACCGCCGGAGCTCTTCCTGCCGCCTGAAGACACCGGAACTCTGCCGGATTTTCGGGAAACACCAGGAATTCGCAGAACTTTGTAACTTTGTGAGAAGTTGATTGTAAATTGATCGTCTTGATTTGTAAGACAGATCAACCTTTGTACTTCAAACAAATTCTGATTATCCCAACTTGTGAGACGAATTAGCCATATGTAATCTACAAAAATACTAATTGAACTTTGCAACTTGGCGAGGCCCCGTGGTTTTTTCCCTCTTTTGGGTTTTTCACGTAAAAGCCTTGGTGTTCATTTTCTCTTTTCTGTTTGTGTGCGGAATACTCGTGCAACGCTAAGACGAATATTTCCTAACTCTACTGTCGCATATATTCTAGCACGCAACAGTTTGGCGCCGTCTGTGGGAAACACAATCCCACTACTTCGAGTACTACTACGATGGTGAATAGGCGTAGCAGTCGTTTAGTTGGAGCTTCTCGCTCCAATTCTCATCAGTCCAGAAATCTGTCTATTAACCATAGACGACCAATGTCAGCATCTTTTCATCCTGGGGGCAAAATGCTGCCAGAGAAGGGATCTCGGGACCTTCTTTAGGAGAAAGAATCTGTAAGATGGAAGAATCTCAGAACGAGATCCTTCAACTCCTGCAAGATGATCGACGGCCGACGTTGGAGGAGGTCCTTCGCCCTCGGGATCCACTAAGGGTTGAAGATATTCTATTCGAGCATCGTCAAGAAGAAATTCATCTTCCTCCACCTAGGAGACATCATCAATTACAACAGGAAGATGAACTTGCCGATACAACGAGTTCAACACATCCTTCACCCTCGACTCGACAGCCTCGCATTTTTTCGGAACTCCCAGAAGGCTCTCCCCAACCACACATTGCGGGACTCCCTCACAATGTCCTGCGTCGCGAACTGCGAAAATTGGTACGGGAAGAGTTCCCCCGAGGAGATGTGAGACATGCTCTCTGATAAAGGAATTTCCATGAGTCATCACCTCTAACTAAAGCCATTCTTCAGCACCCCATTTCGGTCGGATTCAAAGTGCCAAACGTTGAGTCCTACGACGGGACGATCGACCCGTATGAGCATATTGACTACTACAAAACCATCATGCATATTCAACGAGCATCAGACGCGCTCCTCTGCCAGGTCTTTCCCGCCACCCTTAAAGGACAGGCCCAAACGTGGTTCTACTCGCTTTCACCTGGAACAATCCCCTCTTTTGTCAAATTGGCCAAAGTATTCGTCGAACAATTTGTGGCCAATCGAAGAATTGCTAAGGATTCTTCCCACCTCTCCGGGATACGCCAAAATGAGGGAGAATCGTTGAAGGAGTATTTTCAGCGATTTTCCACTGAAGCACGACAGATTCCATGAGTAGACCCTGAATTACTCATAGGGGTCTTTCTTGGAGGTCTTCGTCCTGGCCCCTTCTATTCGGCTCTTATGCGAGACACCGTCCATTCATACGCTGACTTGATCCACCGCGTGGAGGCACAAATTTCTGCAGATGAAGCTATAAATGCTCACAGGAAGCAGTTTGAGCAAATCAGCGGGAAGTGCAAAGGTGCACTTGGGATGGATAATTCTTTCTCACAGCAGAAAAAATATGGGAAGAATAATCTACCTCATAGGTCTTCGTCAGCACGATGGGAACCCAGATAGGAGAAGGAGTACACACCACTTAATACATCCCAAGCAAATATATTAATGGCCATCCGGGATCAGGAGAACGTGAAATGGCCACACCCTTTGAAGCCCAATGTCGGAAACCAGGAGCAATATTGCCACTTTCACCGTAGCCGTGGGCACACTACTGAAGCATGTTGGCAGCTCAAGGAAGAAGTTGAGAGACTGATCCGACAAGGATATCTCCGACAATTCATCAAAAATACACCAGCCCGAGATGAAGTTGGTCCGATTGGGGGGCAGAATCAACAACAAAGGGGGTCGGTAAACAATCGCCAAATAGTGGGGGAAATTGGAACCATCGCTGGGGGCCTATAAATACTTTGCCAAGTTTTAATTGCGTAGAGCACAGTAGTGCTACTTGTTTTAAGTATCGTATGTCTTTAGTATTGTGTGACTTCAGTACTGACTGTCTTTAAATTTGAACTTTGTTTGTGGTGTTTGTAGCTTCTTCCTCCTTAAGCTGTCTTAGGGAGCTATGCTTTTGTTTATTGCAGTAAAACTTTATTTCCTTATCTTTTTTGAGTAAAATTATATTGATAAATTCGCAAAAATTGTGAACTTTAATATCCTTGACTCGAACAAATACATAATCATTATTGTAGCTCAGTCACCATATGAACAATCCTTAGTGGATTCTCCCGACCTCTTCCACACAGGTTAACGTCGTCGAGCAGGGCTCCGACATACAACCTCAGAAAGGTCTTATATCCTTTGTGGATTCTATTAACCTCATCCACACAGGTTAATGTCGTCGAGCAGGGCTACGACATACAACCTCGGATAGGTCTTACAATCCTTGGTGGATTCTCTCGACCTCTTCCACACAGGTTAACGTCGTCGAGTAGGGCTCCGACATACAACCTCGGATAGGTCTTACATCCTTGGTGGATTCTCTTGACCTCTTCCACACAGATTAATGTCATCGAACAAATGTTCTGACATACAACATCGGATAGGACTTATACCCGACGTCGGACTTCTTTTTATCGTCGGACTTCTACTCGTCAGTAGAATTCTCCTCATTGTCGGACTTCTGCTCGTCGACAAACTTTCATCGATCTTCTTTCCGACACAGTACTTCTACCCGGCCTCGGACTTCTACTCGTCGTCGGACTTCTGCTCGTCGACGAATATTCGTAGGTCTTCTACCCGACGTTGAACTTTTACCTAACGTTGGACTTCTCCCTGTCGTCAGACTTCTGCTCGTCAGAAGACTCCTACGCATCGTCGAACTTCTCCTCGTCGGCGGACTACTACTCGTCATCGGCTTCTCGCTCGAATGATACTTGCAACGCACCCTCGAACTCTCTTCTTTGGCTCCACACTCGATCGTTGACTGCTAATGGGCTTCAACTCGATCGTCCATCGCCAGCAAACTTCCGCTCAAATGGCATTCAAATCCCGTAACTCCTGCGCGCCAGGAGGGGCGCTAATTCGAGCAGGGGTAATTTCACGCTCGTAAATAGCGGAAGCCTCAGCCGCCAGAGAGCCGTGGGGGAAGAAAAAAAAATCTCGTAACTCCTGCACGCGAGGAGGGGCGCTAATTCGAGCAGGGAAAATTTCCCACTTGTAAATAGCGAAAGCCTCAGCCGCCAGAGAGCCGTGGGGGAGGAGAAGAAATCCCGTAACTCCTGCGCACGAGGAGGGGCGCTAATTCGAGCAGGGGAAATTTCCCAAATTGCGGAAGCCTCAGCCGCCAGAGAGCCGTGGGGGAGGAGAAGAAATCCCGTAACTCCTGCGCGCGAGGAGGGGCGCTAATTCGAGCAGGGGAAATTTTTCGCTCGCAAATAGCGAAAGCCTCAGCCACTAGAGAGCCGTGGGGGAGGAGAAGAAATCTCGTAACTCCTGCGCGCGAGGAGGGCCGCTAATTCGAGCAGGGAAAATTTCCCGCTCGCAAATAGCGAAAGCCTCAGCCACGAGAGAGCCAGAGGGAGAATGAAAGAGAAGTTGCAAGTTTCCAAAAGACCTAAGGGGCCTATTTATAGGTTTTGGAGAGAATAGGGAGGAGTTATTACAATTTTCGAATTTCCCTATTTTTCTAAATTTTTCTGAATTTTTTGGAATTTTTTGTTATTTTTTTGGAATTTTTTGGACCCAAAAATAGCCAAAAACTGCTATTTTCGTGCATGTGGGGCCCACAAAGTCGGTGGGCCGAACCGACATATCTCTCTCCTCGAAACCGTGCAGACAACGCACAGATCCACGAGTGTTTCACGTGGATCGCGGCCAGTCATGCAGCAATACGCGAAAACGCCGACGACAGCACCCGCGGTGGCAATGTCGCGGAGCGGACCGCGCGCACCCGCGCAAGCGGACCGTGTGAGCGGTCCGCGGTTCCGCGCGGGGTGACCGGCGGCTGCATGAATCTCAGAAAACATTTTTCAACCACAGAGTTTTTAAATAAAAGTAAAATGCGAAAAAAAAAAAAGCAGTAAAGTAAATGACACAAGATTTATAGTGGTTCGGTCTAAACCAGACCTACATCCACTCCCCAGA